CTTCCCAAGAGACCGCCTTGGATCCGCCTATGCTTTCTTGGAATCATTGAACCTATACAACCACACTTTCCACAGCCCTTATCCCTGTCTCCAATTCTTATCTGCAAGCAAAGCCTATGCCGTCACACTGTGATGCTTCAGCATGCATCGAACCTTGTTCATTGTTTTGTGTATTTCAGAAATCGCTAAATTTTCTGTCGTCGATTCCTCGCTCGTCTGAAGTAATTCATATTACTGCTGGTTATACTGGCGACGAGGAGCGTAAGCCGGAATGCATTGGAAAGCCAGATGAGGTAGGCTATGCGTGAGTGAATTTTACGTTTGTGGTGTGCTGACTTACTCGAAATGAAGCTTTTGTTATTTTCAGAATGGTGGCAGTGTTGTAGGCAGTTACGAGTGTGCACCATCAACATCTTATCAGCTACCCAAAGTAAAATCATTACATCCCTTCCTGTCTAATGGTCAACCGTTCCAGGGCACTATTCATCATGGCTCCTCTGCGAACCATTTGCCGGTTGCTCGCTCGTCAGCTGGGTTTGTTGTTACTATGTTTGCACTCTTTCCTCGTCTGCCTTCCGCAGATTTCGACATTTTTCCTCGTCCAATCGGCCCTGTATTTTAAATTATTTGGCTTAGTTTCGACATGCACTGACATAATTTCGCATTTTATTGCTTTTACTGGTTCGGTTGAAAATTGCTGTTTGAGCTGTCTTAGATTCCACGAATTGCTGCGGTTTTTCTGCGGTTACTTGTGTCACCTTTGCTTGTGTATACTAAGCACTGTAAATACTGTTTTATTTCTTTAGAAACTGCAGCTCATTTTCAGTTTTTCAATACTGGACGGCGAGTCTGTTGTGTCGTTAATGCAACTTGCATCTGATTTGAATTGCACCTTCTCATTCCATTGTCGTAACAATCATCCGCAGATATGTTTTGAATCAAATTTTACGGCCTCGCATAAGCTCAGGTATTTTAAAATACTAATATGATTATATCTGTAAAACATAAAATGATATGTAAAAATAATCAGAAAAACAGAAATGTTTCTGTTCATTAAGTCGTATGCACCCCTTTCATCAGCAGCACAACTGGATCTCGTCAGTACAATGATTATGGCATTGATAAGGGATAATGTAAAATAAGGGATAATTTAAAATAAAATAGATAATAATTTTAAAAAAAAAGAATA